TCCCCTTTCCCTTTTGTTTTAGTTAGCAAATATAATAGATTCATTGGCTTGGTTGCATGCCTATGTGTTATGTGTTAAGTGTTTTATTAGGCTCTTGCATCTAGTCGAGCATGCTAAGTGTTATGTGCTACGTGTTCATAAGTGATTCGCATGTCTACTCGCTTTTTATAGTCATGAATGAATGTAATGGATGAATGGACGTCACCACACTAGTCCAACGCTAGTTGTGGCTCATTGACCCATTTCCACTAGTCTAACGCTAGTAGGAATTCATAGAATGGGCTAGTCCAATGCTAGACCCAATAGGCCGTCCCCTTTCGTAGGTGCATATTTGCGTGTTTCATTTCATTTCACGCATTTTTCCTAGTTTTTCTATCATTTGGCATGCCCCACTAATCCCTTCCCTCTCACTTTAGGCTTTGCATATTCATACTAGTTATAGGGTACATTTGCTTGAAAGTCCCCTCCGATAAGGGAAACGAGCGAGTGTGGCTACTCGATAGCCTTAGCACGCTAGTTTTGCCTTCTAATCAAAGGAAAAATCGAAGTCGAAAAGTTAGTAGTCATTCCCATACCCGACCTGATGCATTCCTTTAGGTTCATTCATTCTCATTTATCACTTACTCATTTTTTTTTCCAATTCACATTTCCTCATCACTTTTCCTTTCCTTATTGTTCAATTTGATTTCTACTTCACAAAATTGCACTTAATTACACCTATATGCACTTATCACTATATTTCATACACTTGCACACAAACACTTGGATTTTTCATACAATTTCACACATGCACCTTTTCATACACTTGCACACAAACACTTGGATTTTTCATACAATTTCACACGTTCACCTTTTTATACACTTGCACACTTGCACTTTAGCCATCATTTGCATTAATCGACCTCTATAAGGTTTTCCTTTATTGGCCGCCACAATTCATGTGGTTGGGACCAAAAACCTTACAAGAGACATTTTAGAATTTAGGTTTGCATTTTTTCCTTCTTTTTGCATTCATGTAGTGCATCCAAATGTAATAAATTCTTTGGTTAAAACAAGAAAATCTTTGATTAAATCATGCAACTAGCCTTGGCTAGGTCAAAGGGGTGCCTTGGATTTTATCCTTGCCTTCCCCTTTGTCAAATGTGACTCCCGAACCTTTTTCATTGGTTTACGTAGACTAGGAGTCGTTTAAAAAGGGTTTCTCACTACTTTTCCCTATTTTTCTTTAAAAATACATTTTTTAGGTGACTTGGTACACCTTAACTCATTACCAAGTGGCGACTCCGTACTTAGTTTTAAAAACCCTTTTTAAACTATAATTTTGGGTCAAATCGTCGCATTCTCAAAACCCCATTTAGACCCATTTTTCTTTTAAATCACGATTCATTTTCCAATCACAAAAATACATTTTTAAACCATTTTATTTATTTATCAAAAAAAATGGGGCGCGACAACAGTTACACAGTAAGAGTAAAGCAAAAGCAGAAAAGTAACATCACATAATAAGGATACAGGTGGCTCCAAAGCCAATTCATATGCCATGCGTGAACTCCTGCCGACACTCCGTCGACCACACTTAATGGTCCGTAGAACTTCACTTGTACACCCACCGACACCTTATCACCCTCACTGGCCAGTCACCTCACAAACTTGCCCGGACGAACGAAATCACAAACTTGAGCTTGAGTCACAAGCTCGGGTCACAAACTTGGTCACCTTCTCGGTGAACCGGATTCACAAAATTGGTTCATAACATGAACCTACAAACTTGGTGACCTCAGACTAAGTTGGACTGACTTCGACCAAGCCCTAACCGGCTCGAATAGTCCAAACAGGTCTTAGATCGGGCCCACGAACTCACAAACTTTACAAAATTCACAAACTTTACTCGAAAGTCGCCCCGAGCCACAAGCTCAAGGGTTTTGGTTCCAAAATGTTCATATACATATGCCAAGTACAATTATACATTCAAATTAGGGTTTAGGTCGAGTGCGATAAAGTACACCCTCGCCTAAGTACCCTTTTCACATATCTCAAACACATAGCAAAGAAAACACATCAAACTGGCCTGAATACTTACCCAGAAACTGAAATAGCAAAAGTACGAAGTCGGATCGAAATGAACAGCTAGTAGTGGGCCCCACCAGTTCCGCCCAGCTCACCACCGTCTGAAATAGAAGATTGTGTCACATAATATCGCAAACGGCTACTATCGTGCCTAAAACAAGCAAAACGGCAAAATGACACGCGCGCACGTAAATATGACGAATGGAAACGGAAACGGCCGTTAGCGGAAACGGCAGATTTGACACTCGTTTCTAGTTTACTCATAAGTTGAGCTACGAATATCGGATTAAGGCGTATGAGACACCATATCGAAGCTTAAAGGAGGAACAACAACTGTTATGAAGACATCCAGAACTGAAACTGGAGGCTTCAGTCCCAAATGAACCAAACACAATCACTTACGAAATCTGGCCAATGCACAAATGGTCAGTTTTGAGTGCAAACTGTTTTCTATGCTACACATGGTCAAAAGAGCTGAAAATTGGCAGTTAGATAGTTCATTCCAAATGGAACAACTTTAATGAAGGTCGGAAATTCAAATTCGGAACGGAAATTGGTCATCAGGACCAAAACAGATCTGACCAGAAAATGGTCATCTTCACGGCCAGGGCTTATTTGCTCGGCTATATCTCAGGTTTTATAAATCCGATTCATGAAATTCCAAGGGTGTTAGAAAGCTCTGATATAAGGCTATAAGTTTGGTGTTTTGGTCTCAAGCCCAAACAGCTTGTAACCCAGTCAAATGTGAAGCCAAATTTCCAGTCATAAACTTTCCAAAAACGTAACAGAATTTGATGGTCAAAACAGGTCTGAGTATTTCATTTATCGCTCAGGATATACTAATCCGTTTAACCTGAAAATTTACAGGAATATCCAAGACTTAAGGGGCTACAATGTTAAAGAAGGAAACTTTGTCCAATTTTGAATGTAACAAGGTCAAAAATGCAAGACACTATACCAGAATCGCAAAACAGGATCACAAACCGTATTTGACCTCAATATGCGGTAATGGCACCAAATTCACTACGGTTATCGGATGGGGGTGTAAGATCCACCGTTTCGAAGCTAAGAAACAGGGATACAACCATGTAGAAGGCCACTCAGTCCAAATCCTAGCACAACTAGGTCAAATATGCAAAATACGAAACCAGAATTACCAAAACAGGTTTGCAAATCACATAATGCTGTAATGAGTCCAACTCAGTCTATACAAGTCCAAATGCATTGATTCCAAAGGCATATGGTAGCTAAGACATTCCTCTATAATTTATCAGAAGACACCAACATCCAAATCCAAAGTAATTCCAGTCAAAATAGCCAAATACAAACGCAGTTTTCGCATTCTGATCAACCCAGAACAGCAACAGTAAAATCGACATATCTCACTCTACACTAATCCAAATAACCTGAAATTTTACAGGCACCTCAAACACATCAATACCTATAACTTTTATGTTTTGAGCAAAGTCCAATTCGGCCTCTAACCCTATGATCCAAAACCGGACAGAATTAGGGGTTATCAAACCCTAACTTTCCTCAATTCATTCCAAACCCAAAATTGATTGCAAATTCTTATCAAACACACCTACTAGAGTCATTACCCCTCATTATCAACCATCATAAACAACCACAACATCACATTCATATTAAACCAGAAAATTCCTCAAAAATATAAAAACTTCACCAAATCACTTCAAATCAAGAAATAAATCACAAATATCATCACTTTAACCACTACTAAGCATAACTTAAGCATCATTAGGTGTAGGAGGAAGTTTAGCATCACTTACCAAGTAAACAAGAGAGAGGAAGTTGTAGACCACCTTAGCTCTCCAAGAAAACTTCACTAAAGCACTCACTAGCACCAAGTGGTAGGATTTTATGGAGTAGAATCCAATCTAGGCAATTGTTTTTGGAAGATTGAACCAAATGGAAGCTAATATGGTGAAGTATTTCTTTCTTCTTGGCTCAAGGAAGGGCCGGCCATCAAGGAGAAGAAAATGGTGATTTTTGGTAATTTTTTTAGATATTTAACCAATTTGGTCAAAAGTCAAAAAATGAAATAATAATTCATAAGTCTTCTCCAATGAAATGGTGACACTTGTCACCACCATTAATGCATTCCTATCCTTTCTTTTCTCTCTCACATCAATCATTTCACACACTCTACTTATCTCTTAACACCCGATAAATTTTACACAGTATCCGGAATTTAACCTAATTGGCCGAATTTTTTCGAACTTTTCGCACTAGTGGGTCCCACGTCCAATATATATTCTTAATTTTCTAAAAATTCTCCAATACTAGAAAAATCATCTAAAAACTATAATTACTCATAAAAATTATCTGGGGAATTTTTCTCATAAAGAAAATTTGGAAAAAGGCGGGCGATAAATAAAACTCCACTTAAGCTTTCTAATATAGTAACACTAGAGGTTTGCTAATCATTCAAACTTACTAAACCTTTGTAATTAAAACAAATCCTATATTTACCTATGTCAAGGCACACACTAGAGTACCGAATATAAACTATAGCTTGAACCTTATAATCATAATACGTAAACTAGGATTTTCAATCTTAACCGAATTAGGGTTTCCTTCCTAGTCATAAAACCCTGATTTTTCTATACCGAATATCAAATAACCCTAATATCGACTTGCGAACGGACTGGGGCCTCACACCATCCCTTAACAGAACCTGTCTGTTAGGGGGAGATAATCTTTGGCAAAATAGATGACAACCTATCGGCCAAAATTTTGGATAGCAACTTATTAAAAAAATTGCAAAGACTAATCAGCTTAAACATCGAGAAATCTTGGGGATTTGGCACTTTAGCGATAAGCACAATGGAAGTGGAGGTAATGAATTTAGGCAACTCAACCCCACAGTAAAAAATCAGCACTGCATTATAGACATCTTGAACAATGACATCCTAAGAGAATGTGAAGAACTTACCCGTGAGTTCATCCAGTCCCGCAGTACTCTCCCTGTCCATTGCAAAAATCACTCGTTGAGCCTCCTCTATGGATGGGACTTCCTTCAAGGTCTTATTCTCCTCCTCCATTATCAAACGGGAAATCAAGTGCAGCATATCCGGTACAGGGCCAGTAGGTTCAGAAAATCGGTCCGAGAAGAATGCAATCGCCTCGTTTGCTACGTCCTCATCCTTCTCCACCCAGGAACCCTGCGAATCTTTAATCCGATAGGCGCTCTGAACCCTTCTTTGCTTCACCACCACATGAAAAAACTTAGAATTCTGATCCCCACTATGAAGCCACCTCACTCGAGCCTTTTGACTCCAAAATTGCTCCTCAATGAACAGCGCTTGGCTTAGGTCCGCCTGAGCCTTATAAAGTCCACCTTGCGCCACCTCAGAGGTGTTGCCCTCCACCTCTATTTCAACCCTTCGAACCGCAGCCTCTGCCACCTGAACTGCATCAAAGATATTGCCAAAAATGTGCTTGTTCCACTCTTGGATAGCCCTTCTTGTCGCCATTAGTTTTAAGCACAAGACACGCAATGGGGCTCCATTCACTGGTCTATCCCAAGCTCCTCTAATTACTTCCAACAAGTCTGCCTTAGACGTCCAAACATCCAAGAACCGAAACGGCCTCAGTTTGTTGTCTAAGCGAGTAGCAAAAGATATCTGTAGAGGTGCATGATCTGATGGATTTCTTGCTAAATGCTCAACCGATACAATGGAAAAGACCTTAGCGCATTCCCCATTGATTAGCACTCTATCCAATCGCTTCAAAATTTTAGCTCTGCCTCTCCTATTGTTGCACCACATAAAGTTGGCTCCCGAAAAACCCACATCAAAAACACCAGCCGCCTCCATAAAAGACATAAGCTCTACTCCCTCCTGAACACCAACCGACCGCCCTCCACGCTTTTCATGGGGGGCCATAATGACATTAAAATCCCTTCCAATACACCATGGAAGGGATCTAGGCTTATCAACAAGAAGATTCTGCCATAGTTCTCTTCGCTTGTCCAAAGAACATTTGGCATGAACAAATGAGAAGATAACAGGACCAGGAAGCAAGGGATGCTGAATAGATAGGGAAATATGCTGACTTGAATTACCTACAACTGAATAACTAAAAGGAGTGCAATAACAAACCCAGTTGTCGCCCGACAAATTTTTAATAACTGAATCAAATGCTAGACGCATACGAATGAAGTCAATCTTAGACACATCAGTTTTGGGCTCACAAATAACAGCAAACTTAACACCATACATCCGTATTAATTTTAGCAATCTTCTAAGATTTGGGGATTTGGAAACCCCTCGAATATTGCAGAAAATTGTGTTAATCATAAGGCAAAATCTGGAAGGAATTATAGGTTGGTGTTACAGACCGTAGCTGTCTATCAGAAGGGAAACGCGTACAAACACCTTTCCTTCGCCCTTGCTTGATGCCTTGCACACCATTAGTAACCGTATCTATGTGTAAAGTTTGGACTGACGACTCCGCTATATCTTCCTGTCTCACAATCATCTGCGGAAATAAGTTGCCCGCCACGAGAGGCAGCTCAACATACATCTCCGCAATCTTCCCCTCCTCTGCACCATCCACCCTATCAAGCTGTGAAGCATGTCCATCAATCCTATCTAGGTTGGTATTCGGGAGTTGAACAGGCTGCCCATCACCAATTTCCCACTGTTCAGGCTGCAAAAGCTGCTGCCCATTTCCCTGATCTGGCTCCTTGTCAAGCTCAAGGTTTAGACTCCTGTCTGCAGCACCCTTCACCCCACATACCAGGACATCTGACCCAGCACCTGTACTTGCAATGCTGCCCATGGCAACAAGCTGCCCAGCTTCCTGTCACACACCAGCAAGTTGAGCTGCACACTCCGCCATCCCAATCTGCTGTAATTTCTCCCCAAATCGCTCTCCCTCGAGTGTAAGCTCTTGGCCCATCCCTGCTTTCTCCATCGCAGCTAACAGAACCAAGTTTGGAGCTGCATGGGTCTCCTTAGCAAAACCTCCACCTGCATCTTAGCGTGTGCGGTAGCTTGGGGAGCATGCGACACCATTGTATGTTGTTTGGGTACCCGATGAGCAGCAAATTCCTCAGCGTTCCTTTTGCAATCACCAACAAAATTTTCCAACCACCAACACTTTGAGCAATACGAAGGCAAATCTTCTATGACGATATGCTACCAAAATCTAGTCTTACCCTCCACTGCCACCCATACCCGCGAGTAAATGGGCTTCACCAAATCCACTTTCACACATACCCTGGCCACACCTGGCCGTATGCCTGCCGACGTTGCCACATCCAAGAACAATGGCTTCCCAACTGGAGAAAGGATGGAAAACAACAAGCGTTTAACAAAATAGTGTATCGGCAAAGTTGGTAAGGACACCCAAACTGGAGCCAGAGATGATTCCTTCTGAACATGAAAGTCCCTTTTCCAGCGAAACACACGCATCGGAAATCTACCTAAGGGCCAAATCCCTCGTGTCCATCATCTATTGAAATCTGTCTCAGCCGTGCACCTGATAAGCACATGGCGATAGTCCATCAGACCAACCGAAACATGGTCTCTCAAGTCCAGTGAAGCAAACAACTTCCGAATGTCCTCCAATGTTGGCCGACGACCATTGTGAGGACTCGCAAAATTCTTCTTATTTTCTTAAAATTTTCTTTTATTTTGATTAAATTACTTTATAATAGCTTTACTACTCATTTATTTCCTCCATAGTTGCAATAAATCATAGAATCAAGAGTTTCATCTTTAGTTTTATAGGTAGCATAAATTATGATTGTTTTACGTATTTAGATAGTGTGATTACTTGGTGAAGTGTGTGTATTAAATTTGGTGGATAAGAACAAGTATTAAGTAAGAGAATGTGTGTGATTAGAAGTGCTAATAATAAGTTAGTGAATCATAAGTTAAAACACTAGTACGGGTGAGTTAAGAACAATCGGTTTGAACCGACGTGCACCGTTTGCTACCGATTGAATACATAACTTGAACGCTACTTTATTATCTTAATCTCCTTGTTATTAATTGAGTTAATTAGCCCTTAATCAACCCTTAAGTCAACCACCATTATTGACTAAGGAAAAGAAATATATTTTGGTGGAAATATTTGTAATTGTGCCATTTGTCAAAAATCCATCCAAGGTCTTGACCAAGACCCTTTGACCAAGTCTTTCTTAGTCTTCATCTTGTAAACATTGAACCAAAACCATTTCATTTTCTTGCAAGCTTGGCCGAGAGAGAGAGGAGAGGAAGAGAGAAAAAGTCCTTAAAGTTTCATCTTGATTTCTGGCAAGATTTTGTGGAAAAATCAACCTCAAACTCTAAATCCATCCATGGAAGGTTGAAACTAGGAAGGAAGAAGCTTGGTATGGTGTGATTATGGAGAAGAAAGTTGTGATTTGATACTCTTCTTAGGAGTTGAAGGTATTCTTGGCAAGGAACTACTTTTCCTTTTAATCTTGCATTTAAGTTGATATATTACTTGAATATGGAAGTTTTATAAAAGATTTCATGGGTTGTGAAGTTGGTGGAACTTTTCAAGCTTTGATTCATATTTTTCAGCTTTGAGATGCTGATATCTAGTTTTGTTATAGACTAGAGAGATGATATGAAGATTTCTAGCTTTAATATGACTTTAAGCTTCCAAATAAGGATTTTCCAGCTTTAGTTCTAAATTTCCAGCACTTAGAACTAATTTTCCGCTGTTTTAAGAACCACATTGACCTGAACATTCGACCATGATAAAGGCCGAATCAGTCCTTATTCAAAACATGAAAGTTGTAGGAAATGGAGTCAAATATCTACCTGAAAATTTTCAGCTCAATCTAGGTACTGTATCTTGTGAAATGACTAAATTATCCCTGACTGCCAAATGCCCCATTTCGTGGGTAGCTTTCTATTTTCTCTGAGATTTCACATTTTAACTTTGAAAATACACGAATTAGGTATTTATGTTTTCATAGGAAATGTAGTTCTCTGTCTTGGCTTCGAAATGCCATAAAGTGTACTCCAATCCGATAAGCGTAACTTCAATTGTGACCAAAATGCCAGAAGATGTCAAACCTGTTACTTAGTTATTCTTCTTCACTACTAGTTTCCATCTTTGATTTTTATAGTTGCATTGCTAGAATTGCCTTGTATTGGCATGACATTGAGCCTAGTGAAGAGCTATTGTGTTAAGGTTGTTTATGTGTGAATTTGGGCTGAGTTGAGGAAAATAATGAAGCCATAAATTGCTGGAAAATAGCTAAATACAAAGGGCATGCTACCCAAATTTCTATTATAATAAGATGTAATATTTGATTTTAGGGTTAGTTGGATCTTAAATTACATTTGCTCACTTCAATTTGGGATTGGTTATTCTTAAGGGTTGGCGGTGATCAAGGGCATAATCCGGAAGGAAACTTTTGACGTTATTTTGGCTTAGACTGATGAGTGTTCTTTGTATGTTGTGCTTCTAATGTCTATGTAGATTGTTGTGAATGTTTGCTTGAATATTAAATGTTTTCAATGATTGTTAAATAAATTTTCGATAGGCGAGTGTGTACTTTATCACACTCGACCTAAGTTAACGTGAAATTTTTAATGATTAAATGATTGAATGCTACTTATGCATGAATATAAGCCTCTTGGCTGAACTGGGCCCTTGCCCTTCGTTTGCGAACCGACTCAAGCCAGAAGCAAACTCGGCCAGGCGGCTGGTGACCCTGGAACAGTGTTTTGGTATACTCGAGTATGATCACGAAAGTTGGTGGAGAACTGGCCAGTGAATTGGCTAGTGGCGGGAAATGAAATCAATGAATAAATGTCAATAAACTGGAGGAATTTTCACTTGCAAATATTTTTTAAGAGATAAGGAAAATGATTGGCGAATGAATGAATGAATGGCTCCAACTGAGCACGTATCCTTCCAATGATTAAGTGTTTATTTCTTGAATGACTGGATATTACTGTGCAAAATATGTAAATTGTTAAATGTAACGTTTCCCTGATTTCTATACCTGATTACTTGTTTAGAAACCTCACTGGACTTTTAGTTCATTTCACGTCATTTATTTTCCTTACAGGGGGTACGAGCAAGGCGTGAGACTGGTACAGGCTAGCATCACTACAAGAATTTTGGTCATCAGTGATAACTACTTTTCGTCACAAATAATCAAAAAGTCGTCACTGATGACCATTATTGACAACATTTCAGTTGTCGCAAGGTCGTCACTGAATCTCCGTCGGTAAAAGTATACAGTGACGACTTTAAAGTCGTCAGTAAATAGAACCTTTTTTATGACAATCTATGTCGTCAGTAAAAGATGAAATTATACAGTGACGACTCTAAGTCGTCACTGAATGAAACTTTTAATGACAACATATGTCATCAGTAAAAGCTATAAATCTAGTGACAACACCTTCTCTTGTCAGTGATGCAAGTGATGCATGAAGGGACGATAGTGAGGGCATAGGGGAATTAGTGACGACTTTGTTGTCAATAAACCCCTGATCAACTGTGACAACATTCCCTTATCAATAGACAGTTTTGATTGAGTGACAATAACAATTGTCAATAAAGACATCCTGCCTAGAAAAATACTACTCATTTACAACACCTTACACATGACTTTCCTACTACAATAATATCTAAAAAATGAAAATATCAGCAATGTTTAATAAATAACAAATGTAGGCACCGTTACAATAGAATATGCCAAAATAATATATTAACTATTCAAATGTCATAAATAAGTGCAACATCATAGTACAAATAGTTTCATAAGTTTGAGTAGAACAAATACTACTCATATAAGTCAAGGCTGCACTAAAAAACATGTTCCAAGTCCCAAAACATTTCCTACGCTTCTGAAACATTTTCTAAACTTAAGACAGCACTATAACCACAGTTTTTGAGCCGACATGTAAGCCGTACTGCTAATCTTCTTCGAAACCTCCAAAATGAGCAATATATCTGCAATAAAGTAGTAAAGTTATTAGTAAAGTTATCAGGTGAGAAAAGCAAAACAGTCTCTAATTGCTAAATAAACAACAAAAGTAACAAGTGTTCACTAATCTGATACCACCGTAATGAATGCAGCAATTGCAGCAGAAATAGAGTGATAAGGGGGAGAGAAACTAGACTTGAGGAAGAAGAAAGAGAGATATTATTCAAAATGATATTTCCATGTTGCCCAATCCAGATTTCTGCATTCTTATACAGCTCAAGAATAACAAAATAACTACTTGATTGTTGACTCAGC